GTCAAGAATGAATTTGATGTGGCTATGCATGTAATGCGGAGAACGAAATGAATCTACAGGGCATGTTGCTTTAGATAGTGCTTTCTAAATGAATTTAGGGGTTCGTCCTTTAAATTTACTACCACAAAATAAAAGAAATCTACCATTGATGGTGAAGTTCTCGTTATTCTTTAAATACTACCGGAATTCATCCCCCGATGTGCATCGAGACCAGGGTTGGGAGCCCACTTCCAGGTATTTAGGAATCAGTATGGAAGTGTTCCAAACAAACAGATTGTATCCTATCGAAGCTTTTGCAAAAGCCCTAATCTGCTAGCGATTATGGAATATTTAATTGTAGTTGGGTCCACTACCTCAAAATACCTATTGGGCAGTGGTAGCTTAGTTTTCACTGGTCTCTCGACCACCTGATGGCGATCGGAGGAAAGATTACTATCTGTTGTTTACCCCATTTTCGCTACTTTTTGTACCTGCGGTTTCCTTTTCATAGCTACTGCTTACTTTTCTCTGAACCACAGCTGGACCTATTTAACATTGCTGGCGTGATCTACACACTGGTCTTCAAGCACTATATGGAGGTGGAATGCTTCAACGGCGAATGGCGTCCTAAAGTTCTACCGCGTTCAAAGTAAGTTCACTCCATGTCACTATAAGGGCAATGACTCCTGCCGGCTTTTTTATCACCCAATGGTTCACCAGTTTCACCATTAAAGAATTGAATTAAAACTCCGTGATTCACATGGCCAATCAAGGGTTTAGCGCCACTTGCCTACTTATCTTAAATAGAACTCAAATGTTATTCTTCCATAATCTCATTATCTTCCTAGAAAGTCAATTCACTCAAAATCAAACAGGTTATTTTGGGCGGAATTCTGGGAGTTTTAGTGTTTTTAATGCGCTCTGTTTATGCTCTCTTTCACAGCCCTCATCATTTGATTACGCAAGTTGCAAACCGGTGAGCCTAAATTTGACCTGCTTGTTCAAAGGAATGAAATTTGTACTGTTTCAAAGTGCAGTTTTTCCTCATCGGTTACAGCAATCCGTGGTGAAGGTGTAGTAGAAAAAACTCAAGACGCTTAGGTATTTTATTGCCAAAATTGGAAAGCAGGCCAACCACTTACGCCGATTGCGAAGACCCACTCCGTTGTTCTCAAGCATTTTTATGCGCAAAACACCATTCCATCAGCGCCTTTATGACCTACGTCGACCTCTAGTTTTGATTCCCTCCGTGAAGCCTCGCCAAGTATCTCTTCCATGTCCTTTGTAGCCGAGTCTACAGAGCAATAGAGGTCTGGCGCAATATCTTTTCTGCTCTTCTGAATGTTCGCAGCTGCGCACCCGCGGATTACCCGGATTTGGCCGCTCTTCGTGCACAATGCGAGGCGTTCCTCCTCGAACATGCAGCTGCTTACAACGTGGCTGCCGAGAAGGCAAACGCCATCATCTGTCATTTGAGTCTAGGTTTCAATGAATGACAAC